CCATCACCTTCTCCCAGTCCCACTACATCGGCCAGGTCTTGGAGAGGTTCGAGATGACGCAGGCCAAGCTCGTATCCACCCCCCTCCCTTTCGGCCACCAGCTCGCTCCACCCACTTCTCCCTCCTCCTCCCCTCACCCCTATGCCGAGCTCGTTGGGTCGTTGATGTACGCAATGATGTGCACCCACCCAGACCTCGCCTACCCCATCAGTGTGCTCGCTCGCTTCGTTGGCACTGGTCGCCACACTGACGAACACTGGAAAGCTGCCAAGCGGGTCCTCCGCTACCTTCGAGGGACCAAGGACCATGCTCTCACCCTTGGCGGCTCTTCCCCTCCTCTCCTCTCGGGCTTCAGCGACTCCTCTTGGGCTGACTCGCAGCCAGACCGCCGCTCCTCCCAGGGCTACGGCTTCACCCTTGGCAGCGGCCTTATCAGCTGGCGCTCCACCCGCTCCTCCGCCATCTCTCTCTCCACCTGCGAGGCCGAGCTCTACGCCGGCACCATGGCCGCTCAGGAGTCACGCTAGCTCTGCTTCCTTCTTGCAGAGCTTAGCGCCCCCCAGCCGTGCCCCACCCTCTGGTGTGACAATGCCAGCACCATCCACCTCACTCAGGATCCCGTCTATCACGCCCGCTCCAAGCACATCGAGCTCCGCTACTTCTTCATCCGTGAGCTCGTCCAGAAGGGCCTCATTGCCGTTCGCAAGATTGCAGCCGAGGCCAACTTGGCCGACCTCATCACCAAGGCCCTTTTTCGCCCTGCGCACTCTGCTCTTCTCCGCCTCATCGGCCTCGCTCGCCCGGGCGCTCCTTGATTCAGGGGTTGTTCTCTTCTTGTGTTAGCATGCTAAGGGGTTGTGTTAGAATTATATATATTGTAGCATGCCAACACTTGTGACTGTACACCAATTGTGGTGTACAGTTGGGTTGGGACTACACCCAACTTTGGGTGTAGTCTTGCATTGTGGGGTGCCAATCCACCCAATTGTGGTGGAGCCCCCAAATGCAACTCACTTGGGCTTAAGGTTGCCTCATTTCCACAAAGTGTGGCCAACCCAACCCACTTGACCTAGGGTTGCCTCACTCCCAAAAGTGAGGTCAACCCAACCTATGGTCAAACTCACGTTTCCCTTCCAACATTCTCTTCCTTGCATAACCTTGTGCTCTCTTGAGCTAATGTCAACAATTCTTCCTCAAGTTTCTACAAGCTCCCTATGTTGCGCCTGACGCGTCAGGCGTTTTTTACGCCGGCGTCTGGATGGGGCGTCCAGACGCTTGACGCCCGAGTTCCTCTGCCCTGGACGCCCACTTGACGCTAGTCCAGGCAGGGCAAAACTTTTCCCGGGCAGGGGTAAAAAAAACCTGCCTAGTAAGGCTACATGGGGGTTAGAATGCAACAAGTTCACATTTTTCACCTAAAGTTATAAATACTTCAGAAAATCTAGAAAATCCTGAAAGTCTCCTAAGAAGGTGTGGTGTGGAGCCACTACCACCAGAACGACCGGCGGGACTAGGAGTTGACATGATAACTTAATCGCCTTAACCTAAATTGAGCTAGGAAGGCTTAGTAGCGTGACTGGCGGATTCTAGGCCTTGCTAGGCAATGTCGAGACAAACAGATGTGTGTAATGTCGACCTGGATCTGGATCTCTAGTTGAGATGGAGGTCGACCTGGTTGGAAGCAGTAGATTTGGATGGGTAAAAATGTGTGGGGGGGAATATTTGAGGGTTGCGTTTTTGTAGGTCAAAAACGCAACCCATACTTGGCGATTTCATCGCAATTCTGGTCGCGATGAAATCGCACGTCAATTTCGCGGGGAATTTTTTTCCGGGCTGCCCGAATTTTTTTTTCCCGAACGTCCAGCGTCAAACCTGTTTGACGCACCCAGCGTCTGGACATGACCGTCCAGACGCTGGACGTTGCCCTTCCAGGGCGTCAGGCGCAACATAGCAAGCTCCTAGTTTCTTTCATACAGTTGCCCTGCCACCAACATGGAACACGCCCTCAAATTGACATTCGATTTGCCATGTGCCAGAGATTTTCGAAGTCAGATCCCCGTTTCCCTAGACCTCAGATTTGCATTTCGACAATGGCGAAATGCTCACCAAGGAAATCCGAACCTTTTTAGCGATTTTTATTTTTCCGGGCTGCCCTAAAAATTTCTGAAAGCGTATAGCGTATTAGGCAGCGTATAGTATTTTGCGTATAAGCGCAAGTGTATAAACGGTATACGCTTTAGGCTCTGAGCGTATATCGCAACATAGCACCACTGCACCACTGCACCACTGCACCACTGCCCCACTGCACCACTGCACCACTGCACCACTGCACCACTGCACCATTGCATCCATTCTCCTCACCATCCTGGGCCTAACTCCCCAACCCCCATTCCCTTTCTCCCCCTATCCACACCCTTACAGCCTCTGTGCCCCTCATCCTCCAATTCCCATGTCCACCCGCATCATCCCCTGCCCCTCCCCTCCTTCCTCCCTCCCCCCCCCACAAATCGAGCGCCACAACAGCTTGCTGGACTACACGCCCTCCCACCGCCCCTGTTGCTCCAACTCCCATGTCCACCCGGCCCTACCCCCCTCCCCTTACGCTCTCCTCTCCCCCCCCACCCCACAGGTCGAGCGCCAGAACAGCATGCTGGCCCACACGCCCTCCCACCGCCCCTCCCCCGAGTCCCCCTCCCCGCGCCTCGCGGACTTTTCGTCCCCTCCGCCCCTGGCCTCGCACTCCTTCCACGCGCACACCAGCAGCCCCAGCAGCAACGGCGCCACTGCCTGCCTGGGAGGGGGCCCACCGTGGGAGCAGCAGCAGCATGGGATGGGCATGGGGGGCGAGGGGGCGATGGGGGCGCGCATGAGGGCAGTGGGTGCTGCTGACGGCATCCTGCCTGCCTCTGCCTCCCCGTGGTCACCACCAGCAGCAGCAGCAGCAGCAGGTGGAGGGGCAGTGGGGGCGGCGAGTTGCAGTCCCCTGCAGCGCAGCACGAGCATGGCGCCCACCAGGGCGCTGCAGCAAGGTACGTACGAGCATGGCGCCTAGCAGCACGAGCATGGCGCCTAGCAGCACGAGCATGGCGCCTAGCAGCACGAGCATGGCGCCTAGCAGCACGAGCATGGCGCCCACCAGGGCGTTGCAGCAAGGTACCCATGGGCATTAGCCCGACCCGACCCGTCTAGGCCGACCCGAGGCTCAGCTCGGGTCAGGTCGGGTATATTCGACCCCGGGTATTTGGCCCCAGGATGTTGACCCGACCTGCCCACTACCTCTTGGCTATCCCTGACCCGCGGTCGGGTATACCCGAATACCCTTTTGGTAGCTCTATTGTATATTCGTAACCCTAACCCCAGGCACATCACTCGGGTACGGGTATACCTGACCCGACCTAGAACCACCGGGTCGGGTACCGGGTATTTTTTTCCCCGACCGGGTATACGCTACTTGACCCACCCGGGTAGTCAATCCCAATATTAGGACCCGACCCTACTAAAAAGTCGGGACCGACCCGACTGGGTCTTTTGCCCATGCTTAGTACCCATGTGGGTGACACACAGCAGGTGACACTCAGCAGGTGGCACACAGCAGGTGGAACACAGCTGGTGGCACACAGCAGGTGGCACACAGCAGGTGGCACACAGCAGGTGCATAAGAGAAGATTTCGCGTGGGTGGCATGGCACTGTGCCGCCCTGGAGGGCTGCTGCTGACGTGGCCGCCTCCTTCATGCCCCATGCTCCACCAGTGCTCGTGTCATGTGCACACATGTATATCTCCCTGCCATCAATGTCATGTGCACACATGTATATCTCCCTGCCATCAATGTCATGTGCACACATGTATATCTCCCTGCCATCAATGTCATGTGCACACATGTATATCTCCCTGCCATCAATGTCATGTCAGTCCACTGCCGCTTCTCCCTCCTCGCTTCCAGTCAATCACTTCATCACACCTTTCCCCTCCCTCCATTCCCTGCATTTTCTCCCGCCCATGCCCTCCATCCCTTCCCTTGCCCTCCATCCCTTCCCTTTCCCTCCATCCCTTCCCTTCCCCTCCATCCCTTCCCTGCCCTCCCTCCCCCTGTGCCCTTGCTTGTCCCCTCCCTCGTTCACCACCCCCTGCCCTGCCTGCACCGACAGCCGATGCAAGGCTAGCCAAGCGCGCTCTGCCCGTGCCTCTCCCCGTGTTCAGCCCGTCCTCGCACCCCTCGCCCCCCACCCGCCCCACACCCACTACCCCTGCCCTCCTGCGCCTCTCCTCCATGTCCCTCTGCTCCTCCTCCTCCCCCCTCGACCACTTTCTTGCTTCCACCTCCGCTGCCGCTGCAAGCACCACAAGCAATGGCAGCGGCAGCAGCTGCGGCGGCAGTAGCAGCAGCAGCAGCAGCAGCAGCAGCAGCAACGTCACCACAAGCAGCAGAAGCAGGGGTGATGCCACGTCAACAACGTCTCCATCATCTTCCACCACGTGCTCCACCATGTGCCAGCGAGAGCCCCCTGCAGGCGGGCAAGCGCACCCGTTGGTGCTGCAGCACACGCGGCACAGCAGCCTGGCACTCAGGGGCGCCGATGGTGACTCCCTGCCCGCCCTGCTCGCCCATTGGCCCTCCCTCCACCCCCACCCCCACCCCCACCCCCACCCCCACCCCCACCCCCACCACCACCACCACCACCACCACCACCGCCGCCGCCACCGCCGCAGCACCACCATTGGTGAGGAGGTTATGTCTGGGGTGGGGGACGGGAGGTAACGGCAAGGGCGAGGGAGAGGGAGGGAGGGAGATGGAGATTGAGAGCTCGGGGAAGAGCAACAAGGGTGGAGGAAAAGTTAGGGAAGTAAGGGAGGCTTCCCTTACTTGCGTCACCGCCATCCTTCTCCCCCGTTCCCCCCCCCCCCCCAGGGTCCCTGACGGATTTGGACCATGAAGCGGGCGGCAGCGGGCGGCAAGCAGCGATGGTGGCGGCAGAGGCAGCAGCAACGGGCGGGCAGCGCATGGTGCGCATGTGGGAGCGCTTGAAACGCATCATGCCGCCGCCCAGAGGTTCCGACCTTGAGGTCCGTCTGATATGCTAGCATTGAATGCTTTGTGTGCATTTAACATGTTTTTTTGTTTGTTTGTTTGTTTGTTTTTTTTGTGTGTGTGTGTGTGTGTGTGTGTGTGTGTGTGTGTGTGTGTGTGTGTGTGTGTGTTTTTTTTTTTTTTTTTTTCCTTCTGTTTTTTGAAGTGTTGGCTGGGAGAGAGAGACCATTCAAGGTACCATCTGCTTCATGCACGGCTTGCATCAGCCTCTGCACATTCCAACTTGCTCCTCTGCGCAGTCCAGCTTGCTCCTCTCCTCATCGCCGTTGAATTTCCACCCACCACGTGTTCCCTCATCCTCCTGTTCCCTCATCCTTGTGTTCCCTCATCCTCTTCTTCTCTCAGCAGGAAGCCTCGCCACGCCTATCGCTTCTCTCGCCTCGCTGCCCCACCCAGCAGCATCTCAGCCACAGCGCCAGTTGGGGGGCCACCATGGGCATGGGCATGGGCATGGGCACGGGCATGAGTGGGGGCGCGAGTGTGATTCAGCTGCCAGCGGGAATGACGCTGGTGGAGGCGCTGCTGGCGGGCCGTGTCCCGCGCAACCAGAGGGGCGCCGCCTGGGTTGCCATCGCCACCGCCCACCCTGATGTCAGTCACTGCTGCTGCTGCTGCTGCTGCTTCGCCTGCTCTGGTCACGCCTGATCTGCTAGAAGCTGCACCTGTGCATTGCCATGCCTCAATGATGCACCTCAACGCACCTCCTCCATGCCTTCACATGAGCTTCCTGTTCTCAATCTATTGCACCATCCTTTTGACTAATTCGTTGTTTCTCCCCCTCTTCTTACCCTCCGTCGCTCCCCTTGCTCTCCCCTCTCCTTACTCCCTTTTCCAACCTCCTCTCCCTCCTCTCCCCTCCACCCTCCCTCCATATGCCATGCCACCTATCACACACCTCATCCGTCGTCCACCGTCTCCTCTCACCACCAGGACACCTTGGCGGATGGCAGCAGCTACACCTCTCTGCTCATGCAGCCCTCCGCCTCCGCCAAGTGAGCTCCCCACCCCCACACACGCCAAGTGAGCTCCCCACCCCCACACCACACACACGCTCTCATGGCAGGTCACACACACGCTCTCATGGCAGGTCACTCACACGCTCTCATGGCAGGTCACACACACGCTCTCATGGCAGGTCACACACACGCTCTCATGGCAGGTCACACACACGCTCTCATGGCAGGTCACACACACGCGCCTTCTCCAACCACCCCATTCCCCCCACCCTTCTCCCTCCCCCGCGCTGCTGGCAGGGAGATAGAGCGGGATGTGAACCGCACCTTCCCCAACCACCGGCTCTTCCAGGAGGAGAGGGGTGCCGGCCAGCAGTCACTCTTCAACGTCATCAAGGCCTACTCTGTACCGCGTCGCCCCGCACCGCACCCCCCACCCTGCCCTGCCCTGGCTCACCCTTCCCCCGACCCCCCACTGCCCTGCCCTGATATGTGCTGTCTGCTGCTGCACCCTGCTGTGCCCTGCCTTGTTTCTTCCCTCTCTCACCGACCACCACTCGCTCTTCAACGTCATCCACGCCTACTCCCTACCGCACCCATGCCTTGCCCTGCTCTGCCCCGCCCCACCCTGCCCTGCCCTGCCCTTCCCTGCCAAGTGCTCTCTGCCCTGCCCTGCTATATGCACCCCTGCTCCGCTGCACCCTTCTGTTTCGCGGTGCCCTGCTTTGTGGCAAGCCATTCCATAATACCATGCCATTCTATCCATGCCATGCCATTCTATCCATGCCATGCCATTCTATCCATGCCATGCCATTCTATCCATGCCATGCCATTCTATCCATGCCATGCCATTCTATCCATGCCATGCCATTCTATCCATGCCATGCCATTCTATCCATGCCATGCCATGTCCAACCCACCTTTCTCTTGTGCCTGACTCAGTCCCTGCGTTCCCTCCTCTTCTCTCGCCCCGCCCCTGCCCGCCCCGCCCTTGCACGCCGCGCTTCTGCCCATGGCGCGCACCAGGTGTTGGACAAGGAGGTCGGCTATTGCCAGGTTCTTCCCCTCCCCTTGCCCCTTTCCCTTGCCCTCTCCCCCTCCCCTTGCCCCCTCCCCCTCCCCCTGCCGTCTCCCCCTCCCCTTGCCCTCTCCCCCTCCGCTTGCCCTCTCCCAATCCCATTGCCCTCTCCTCTCTCCTTGCCCTCTCTCCCTCTTCTCGCCCCCTTTCCCTCCTTTTCCCCTTTCGTTATTTTGCCTTCGAATCGATCTTTCACTCCTACTCACCATCTAACCCTTTTTTTTTTCCTTGCCTTCCTCCCTTCCGTCCCTTCCCTTTCCTTGTTACTCCGCATCCTTCCCTTCGCCCCTCCTCTCTAGCCCCGCCTCCCCACCCCTTCCAGTCGCGCCCACGTGTCCTCACCACCTGTAGCTTCATTCCTCACCACCTGTAGCTTCATTCCTCACCACCTGTAGCTTCATTCCTCACCACCTGTAGCTTCATTCCTCACCACCTGTAGCTTCATTCCTCACAGCTCTGCCGCTCCCTTTTGTAGAGAACCATGTTCATTAATTCACTTCTCTCGCATGCTTCCACTCCACTCCACTGCCACTTCCCCTCCCCATCCCCCACACCCCACATCTCTCTCTCTTCCTCTCTTTCCCGTTGCCTCTGTCTGCCTCCATCACTCCCCCCCCCCCCCACCACGCCATCATCTCCGCTGCCCATGTGTGCTGCACTGCATGGTGCATGTTGCGTGTATGCATGTTGTGTGTATGCATGTTGCGTGTATGCATGGTGCGTGTATGCATGGTGCATGGCGAGCAGGGCATGGGGTTCATAGCGGCGACGCTGCTGATGAGCATGGGGGAGGAGCACGCCTTCACGTGCCTCGTCTTCCTCATGTATCGCTGCGGCCTGCGAGGGGTCTTCCTGCCCGACATGCAGCAGGTGGGGCTTTAAGACATGCAGCAGGTGGGGCTTTAAGACATGCAGCAGGTGGGTCTTCCTGCCCGACATGCAGCAGGTGCAGTGGGATGGGGCTTTAAGACATGTAGCAGGTGCAGTGGGATGGGGCTTTAAGACATGCAGCAGGTGCAGTGGGATGGGGCTTTAAGACATGCAGCAGGTGCAGTGGGATGGGGCTTTAAGACATGTAGCAGGTGCGGTGTGACCTTCAAGACATGCATCAGGTGTGTTGGGACGTTGAGACATGCAGCAAGTGGCGTTGACCGCTACGGATGCCTTGTGTGCCATGCCATTGCCATCCCATGATGCCTTCTCTGGAACTTGCTTAACATCACATCCTTCCCTCTCCCTTTCCTGGATGCATGTGGGTGTGTGCATGTGGGTGTGTGCATGTGGGTATGTGATATGTGTGTGCACGTGTGCACATGCGTGTAATGCGTGTGTTTGCATTCACGTGTGTGTGAATGCCCCTGTGCCCCCCCACCCCACGCACAGCTGCAAGTGCGCATGTATCAGCTCACCCAGCTGCTCATCCACACTCTGCCACGCGTGCATGCCTTCTTCGAACACCTCGACATCAAACCCGTATGACACACCCCATACCATGCCATGCCACGCTGTGCTGTGCCATGCCATGCCAACCCATGCTACCCCATGTTACGCCATGCCATGGAATGCCGCCCGACGTCATACCAGTACTTCTGTTGTGTCTCAGCTGTTGTATCTAATCACCACACCTCACAGCACAGCACCACTCATTCCTCTCACTTGAGCTTTGAGACGTCAGCCCAACAACATCACAACCGTTCATCAGCATCGCACACGTCAGCTGTCCCCTCCCTATGCTGCACGCCATGCCCATCACGCCCCACACACCGCACCACACCGCATACATGCCATGGCGCCACCAGGTGATGTACGCGGCGGACTGGTTCCTCACCTCACCCCATGCGCAGCGCACCATGCCCCACCATTCCCTCCCTACCATGCCCCACCACGTCCCATACACACCACGCGTGACGCCGCCAGGTGATGTACGCGGCGGACTGGTTCCTCACTCTCTTCGCGCGCACCATGCCTCACTACCTCGTCTTCCGCGTCTTCGACATCATCCTTGGTACGCTGACATCATCCTTGGTACGCTGACATCATCCTTGGTACGCTGACATCATCCTTGGTACGCTGACATCATCCTTGGTACGCTGACATCATCCTTGGTACGCTGACATCATCCTCGGTACGCTGACATCATCCTCGGTACGCTGACATCATCCTTGGTACGCTGACATCATCCTCGCTACGCTGACATCATCCTCGGTACGCTGACATCATCCTTGGTACGCTGAAATCATCCTTGGTACGCTGACATCATCCTTGGTACGCTGACATCATCCTCGGTACGCTGACATCATCCTTGGTACGCTGACATCATCCTTGGTACGCTGACATCATCCTCGGTGCACTAACGTCTTCAGCAACTGTTGTCATTCTGAACAGTCCCAGCAGCTGTACTTGCTCGCTCCCACAACGCACTCTCTGCTCGCTGCTACTCTCGTTGCTCTCCGCTGCCTGTTGCACTGCCGCCCGCTGCCCTCACTCCGCTCTGCAAATTCAATCTCTCCGGATTCTCCCATGGCCCCCAACGCCCATGGCCCCCAACGCCCATGGCCCCCAACACCTCTAGTCAGATCAGTCCTGTCGTCCACCTCCCTCATGTTCGCCTCTGCATTCTTGCCTTTCTTTTCTCTAGCGAACAGAATCTTCCCTCCCTCTCATCCACCCTCTTTGCTCCCGTCCCTTGCTGCTTCACATCCGCCCCCTCCCCTCCGCTCCCTTGCCTGTCTTGCCGTTCCCCCGCCACCTCTGTGTGCTCCGGATCTGCACATCCCTTTCCCCCATCCACCCCCTTTCCTCCGCTCTCTTGCTGTCTCTCCATCACAGCCAACCTCGTGCCCTCGTCCTTGCCTCTATCCTCGCCACTCCCGGTGCTTCCCTCCCTTACATCCACCCCCTTTTTCTTCCACCCCCTTGGTGCCTCTCATCTCTCATCTCTCATCTCTCATCTCTCATCTCTCATCTCTCATCTCTCATCTCCCATCTCCCATCTCCCATCTCTCATCTCTCATCTCTCATCTCTCATCTCTCATCTCTCATCTCTCATCTCTCATCTCTCATCTCTCATCTCTCATCTCTCATCTCTCATCTCTCATCTCTCATCTCTCATCTCTCATCTCCCATCTCCCATCTCCCATCTCCCATCTCCCATCTCCCATCTCCCATCTCCCATCTCTCATCTCTCATCTCTCATCTCTCATCTCTCATCTCTCATCTCCCATCTCCCATCTCCCATCTCCCATCTCCCATCTCCCATCTCCCATCTCCCATCTCCCATCTCTCATCTCTCATCTCTCATCTCCCATCTCCCATCTCAAATCTCTCATCTTCCATCTCTCATCTCTCATCTCTCATTTCCCATCTCCCATCTCAAATCTCTCATCTTCCATCTCTCATCTCTCATCTCTCATCTCCCATCTCCCATCTCAAATCTCTCATCTTCCATCTCTCATCTCTCATCTCCCATCTCCCATCTCAAATCTCTCATCTTCCATCTCTCATCTCTCATCTCTCATCTCTCATCTCTCATCTCTCATCTCTCATCTCTCATCTCTCATCTCTCATCTCTCATCTCTCATCTCTCATCTCCCATCTCCCATCTCCCATCTCCCATCTCCCATCTCCCATCTCCCATCTCCCATCTCAAATCTCTCATCTTCCATCTCTCATCTCTCATCTCCCATCTCCCATCTCCCATCTCAAATCTCTCATCTTCCATCTCTCATCTCTCATCTCTCATCTCCCATCTCCCATCTCCCATCTCAAATCTCTCATCTTCCATCTCTCATCTCTCATCTCTCATCTCCCATCTCCCATCTCAAATCTCTCATCTTCCATCTCTCATCTCTCATCTCCCATCTCCCATCTCCCATCTCAAATCTCTCATCTTCCATCTCTCATCTCTCATCTCTCATCTCCCATCTCCCATCTCAAATCTCTCATCTCTCATCTCTCATCTCTCATCTCTCATCTCTCATCTCTCATCTCTCATCTCTCATCTCCCATCTCCCATCTCTCATCTCTCATCTCTCATCTCTCATCTCTCATCTCCCATCTCCCATCTCCCATCTCAAATCTCTCATCTTCCATCTCTCATCTCTCCTCTCCCATCTCCCATCTCCCATCTCAAATCTCTCATCTTCCATCTCTCATCTCTCATCTCCCATCTCAAATCTCTCATCTTCCATCTCTCATCTCTCATCTCTCATCTCTCATCTCTCATCTCTCATCTCTCATCTCTCATCTCTCATCTCTCATCTCTCATCTCTCATCTCTCATCTCTCATCTCTCATCTCTCATCTCCCATCTCCCATCTCTCATCTCCCATCTCCCATCTCCCATCTCAAATCTCTCATCTTCCATCTCTCATCTCTCATCTCCCATCTCCCATCTCCCATCTCAAATCTCTCATCTTCCATCTCTCATCTCTCATCTCTCATCTCCCATCTCCCATCTCAAATCTCTCATCTTCCATCTCTCATCTCTCATCTCTCATCTCCCATCTCCCATCTCAAATCTCTCATCTTCCATCTCTCATCTCTCATCTCCCATCTCCCATCTCCCATCTCAAATCTCTCATCTTCCATCTCTCATCTCTCATCTCTCATCTCCCATCTCCCATCTCAAATCTCTCATCTTCCATCTCTCATCTCTCATCTCTCATCTCTCGTCTCTCGTCTCTCATCTCTCATCTCTCATCTCCCATCTCCCATCTCTTATCTCTCATCTCTCATATCTCATCTCTCATCTCTCATCTCTCATCTCTCATCTCTCATCTCTCATCTCTCATATCCCATCTCCCATCTCCCATCTCAAATCTCTCATCTTCCATCTCTCATCTCTCCTCTCCCATCTCCCATCTCCCATCTCAAATCTCTCATCTTCCTGTTGTAATTTCATAATTTGTACAACATACATAGGCTAGAATTAGATCTGTAGTACACTTATAAATTGGGGGGTTGTTTAGTGTACCCTCCAACCACATTTTGTGGTTGGTTGGGATTGGTCCCTAGCTCAACCAATCCCAACCAACACACATTTGTGGTTGCTTGGGTCACAAGCAAGCTCACCCATTGGCCAACTTATTGGCCAATAGGGTAAGCTTCCCTTTCATCTCTCTCTTGCTCATTGTTTGTACTAAAGGGCCTCTTGGCTCATTATTCAATGTATCTCTTCTAGCTTTTCAACATGGTATCATGAGCTATTGGCTCACGCCTTAATCCCTCGATCCTAAGGCCACCCTCTCCTCCCCGTCCCTCAGACCTAGTCCTACTACGGTGCTCCCAAGCTCAGATCTACTCCTCTCGAGCTCCGATCTACTCCTCCCGAGCTCACATCTACTCGTCCCAAGCTCAGATCTACTCCTCCCAAGCTCACATCTACTCCTCCCGAGCTCAGATCTATCCCCCCCGAGCTCAGATCTACTCCTCCCGAGCTCACATCTACTCCTCCCGAGCTCAGATCTACTCCTCCCGAGCTCAGATCTACTCCTCCCGAGCTCACATCTACTCCTCCCGAGCTCAGATCTACTCCTCCCGAGCTCAGATCTACTCCTCCCGAGCTCACATCTACTCCTCCCGAGCTTAGATCTACTCCTCCCGAGCTCACATCTATTCCTCCCCGTTCCTCAGATCTAGCCCCACCCACGGAGCTGCCCTCCCTTCACGCACCCTTAAGGCGCTGTCCTCCCTCCCCGTGCGCCCCCTAAGGCGCTGCCCTCCAAGGCACGTCCAGATCTGCAACTCCAGCGCCCAGATCTGCATTCCCCGCGCTCAGATCTGCAACTCCAGCGCCCAGATCTGCATTCCCCGCGCTCAGATCTGCAACTCCAGCGCCCAGATCTGCACTCCCTGCGACCAGATCTACTCCTCCCGCGCCTAGATCTGATCATTCCGCGCCCAGATCTGGATTCCGCGCCACCAGATCTCCTCCTCCCGCGCCCAGATCTCCTCCTTCCGCCACCGGTCAGTTCATTTCTCGCATTCCATTTTGCCCTCGCTCCCGTCTGTACACCCTTCGTGTTCCTCGCCTCCCCTCCTGTCAGGTCATCTCTCGTCCTCCCCTCCACCCTCTCATCCCAACCCCCCCTCTCCCTCCCACTAACCCGGACCTCCCTTCACGCCCCCCCCCTGACTCCTCTTGCTCCTGTCGCTCCCTCTCCCACCCTGCCGTCCTCCTCCATCACAGGCTAGGTCACCCTAACTTCGCTACTCTACGCTCCTCTGTTTCCTCCGGTCTCCTCCATGGTCTCCCCTCCTCCCTCCCTCCTCTCCCCAAATCCCCTGCCCCCCCCTGCACCGTCTGCGTTCAGAGCAAGCTCAAGCAGCAGCCGCACCGGAGCTCCCCCTCCGCTGCTGCTCAGCCACTTGATCTTGTTCACATGGACCTCTGGGGCCCCAATCCCTCTCCCACTCGCCAGGGCCATCGATACCTCCTCGTACTCGTCGATGATCACAGTCGGTACTCGTCCGTCTCTCTCCTTCGGACGAAGGCAGATGCCCCGGCTGCGATCATCGCCTGGCTCGAGCGAGCAAACACCCATTTTGGGCGCCCTGTTCGCCGCCTTCACTCTGATGGTGGTGGTGAGTTCCTTAACAACCAAATATCCTCCTATTGCCAGTCTCATGGCATTCTTCAGACTTACACCCTCCCTCACTCCCCACAGCAGAACGGTGTGGCTGAAAGTCGTGTTCGAGAGATCACCAAAACTGCCCGGTGTCTCCTTGTCCACGCCTCCTGCCCTCCTTCTCTGTGGGGCTACGCCCTCCTTCATGCCGCCCTGCTTACTAACCTTTACCCTCACCCTCTTCTCCCATCCACCACCCCCACTGAGCTGTGGACGAACAACAAGCCTGATGTCTCATCTCTTCGTGTCTGGGGCTCAAAGGCTTATGTCCTTCTTCACCCCGCTGACCGCTCCCGTTCTATGGGAAAGCTTGCCCCTCGTACCCTTCCCTGCATCTTTCTTGGTCATAACTCCTCCTCACCTGACTACCTTTTCCTCCATCCCCCCTCAGGTCGTCTATTCCGCAGTAGGGATGTGGTCTTTGATGAGTCCACTCCTTACTACTCCTCTCCCCCATCCACTGACCCACTCCCCCGTCTTCCCCGTCCCCTTGTCTGGTCTGACACCACCCCTCCCCCTCTACTTCCTCCTCCCCCCATCCTCCCTCCCCCTCCCCCACCGTCGTCCTCGTCCCACGGTGCCCCTCCCTTGTCTGGTGACCCGGAACCTCTGTCCTCTCTCGTCTCCCCCACACATTCCTCTCCTAGTGCCCCTCCCGCCCCTCCTTCACCTCCCTCGCTGCCGACTCGTCCTTCCCCCCCTCCCCGCACTGTACTAACCCGGTACCCCCATACCAGGTCACAAGACAGTATCCTTGGTGCACCGCCCCCTGTTACCCTCTCTACCTCTACCCTCCCCCCACTCTCCCCTCTCCTTCACCACTTCTTCCAGGCTGTTCTGCATCAACCTCCCCCTGCAGCAGCCCCCGCCGCCACCTCTCCAGCAGCGGCGCCAGCAGCAGCACCAGCAGCACGACCAGCAGCGGCACCAGCAGCAGGACCAGCAGCGGCACCAGCAGCAGGACCAGCAGCGGCACCAGCAGCAGGACCAGCGGCGGCACCAGCAGCGGCACCAGCAGCGTCACCAACAGTGGCACCAGCAGCAGGACCAGCAGCGGCACCAGCAGCAGGACCAGCAGCGGCACCAGCAGCGGCACCAGCAGCGGCACCAGCAGCGGCACCAGCAGCGGCACGTGCAGCAGCACCAGCGGCACCAACGGTCATCCGCTCCTTCCACACCTCCCTCTCTGAGGACTCCCATGAGGAGTTCCTTGACCTCCACCTCTGTGACCCTTCCCTTCTACCCATCACCTTCGACCTTTCTGGGACACCTGTCTTCGCATTCTCCTCTGCTCCCTCCGTTTTCATCCCTACCACGTATGAGGAGGCCATGGCTTGCCCCGACGCCCCACTCTGGCTCGCCGCCATTATCAAGGAGCTGGAGGCCTTTGTCGCCAACTCCTCCTTTGTTGATGTGCCTCGCCCTCCCTCCTCTACGAACGTGGTGAAGGGGAAGTGGGTGTTTCGCGTCAAACAACTGCCAGGGGAGCCGCCCGTCTACAAGGCTCGTTACTGCGCCAAGGGGTTCACGCAGCGGTATGGTTTTGACTTCTTCGATACCTTCTCCCCCACTGCCAAGCCCGCTACTGTTCGCGCCGTGCTCGACCTCGCCGCTCGCCTCAATATGGAGATCCACTCGATGGACGTCTCTAACGCCTTCCTCCAAGGCGTCCTCCGCGAGCTTATCTACATGGAGCGTCCTGCCGGTTTTCACCTTCCCTTCCCTGCGGACTCTGTCTGGCAGCTGCGTCGCCCTGTGTATGGGCTCCGACAGGCCCCGAGGGAGTGGCATGCTAAGCTTGCCGCCACCCTTGCTGAACTTGGATTCCGCACCTCCCGTTCTGACGCCAGCCTCTTCCTCCGCGCCTCCCCCTCCCCCTTCTACATCCTTGTCTATGTCGATGACATGATTCTACTCACTGCCGACCTCAGCGAGTTGGAGCGTGTTAAGGCTGAGTTGGGCAGCCGTCTCAAGTGCAAGGACTTGGGCGAATTGCAGCATTACCTGGGCATGACAATCACCCGCGATCGCTCCGCCCGCACCATCTCTCTCTCCCAGGGTCATTACTTGCAGCAGGTCTTGGAGCGGTTTGACATGGTCCGCGGCGGCGCCCAACCTACTCCTCTTTCTGTCGGGCACCACCTCTCTCCACCCACCTCCCCCTCAGCCTCCTCCCATCCTTATCCCGAGCTCATCGGCTCCCTCATGTACGCCATGGTCTCCACTCGCCCTGACCTTGCCTACCCCATCAGCGTCCTCGCTCGTTTTGTTGGCGCAGGCAAGCATACGGAAGAGCACTGGCAGGCCGCCAAGCGTGTCCTCCGGTACCTTCGTGGCACCAAGGACTATGTCCTTACCCTCGGCGGCCCCTCCCCACCTACCCTCAGCGGCTACAGTGACTCCTCCTGGGCTGATTCCCAGCCAGATCGTCGCTCCTCCCAGGGCTATGGCTTCTCTCTTGGCAGCGGCCTTATCAGCTGGCGCTCCACCCGCTCCTCGGCTGTCGCCCTCTCCTCCTGCGAGGCGGAGTTGTATGCCGCCACCATGGCTGCGCAAGAGGCCCGCTGGCTCACCTTCCTCCTTGAGGAACTTGGTGCCCCCCAGCGCTGTCCCACCATTTGGTGTGACAATGCCAGTACCATTCACCTCACCAAAGATGCCGTGTTTCACGGGCGTTCCAAGCACATTGAGCTCCGTCATTTCTTCATTCGCGATCTTGTTCAGGCGGGGCACCTTCGGCTCGACAAGGTTGACTCGGCGGCCAACCTTGCCGACATCTTCACAAAAGCTCTTCCTCATGTCGCTCACTCTTTCCTACTTCGTCTTCTTGGCCTCACTCCTCCTAAGTCGCCTCCCGCCTCTTGATTCTAGCCTTCTAGCCTTATGCATGTTGGGGGGTTGTGTTGTAATTTCATAATTTGTACAACATACATAGGCTAGAATTAGATCTGTAGTACACTTATAAATTGGGGGGTTGTTTAGTGTACCCTCCAACCACATTTTGTGGTTGGTTGGGATTGGTCCCTAGCTCAACCAATCCCAACCAACACACATTTGTGGTTGCTTGGGTCACAAGCAAGCTCACCCATTGGCCAACTTATTGGCCAATAGGGTAAGCTTCCCTTTCATCTCTCTCTTGCTCATTGTTTGTACTAAAGGGCCTCTTGGCTCATTATTCAATGTATCTCTTCTAGCTTTTCAACACTTCCATCTCTCATCTCTCATCTCCCATCTCCCATCTCCCATCTCAAATCTCTCATCTTCCATCTCTCATCTCTCATCTCTCATCTCCCATCTCCCATCTCAAATCTCTCATCTTCCATCTCTCATCTCTCATCTCTCATCTCTCATCTCTCATCTCTCATCTCTCATCTCTCATCTCTCATCTCTCATCTCTCATCTCTCATCTCCCATCTCCCATCTCCCATCTCCCATCTCCCATCTCCCATCTCCCATCTCCCATCTCTCATCTCTCATCTCTCATCTCCCATCTCCCATCTCCCATCTCAAATCTCTCATCTTCCATCTCTCATCTCTCATCTCCCATCTCCCATCTCCCATCTCAAATCTCTCATCTTCCATCTCTCATCTCTCATCTCTCATCTCCCATCTCCCATCTCAAATCTCTCATCTTCCATCTCTCATCTCTCCTCTCCCATCTCCCATCTCCCATCTCAAATCTCTCATCTTCCATCTCTCATCTCTCATCTCTCATCTCCCATCTCCCATCTCAAATCTCTCATCTTCCATCTCTCATCTCTCATCTCTCATCTCTCATCTCTCATCTCTCATCTCTCATCTCTCATCTCTCATCTCTCATCTCTCATCTCCCATCTCCCATCTCCCATCTCAAATCTCTCATCTTCCATCTCTCATCTCTCATCTCCCATCTCCCATCTCCCATCTCAAATCTCTCATCTTCCATCTCTCATCTCTCATCTCTCATCTCCCATCTCCCATCTCAAATCTCTCATCTTCCATCTCTCATCTCTCATCTCTCATCTCCCATCTCCCATCTCAAATCTCTCATCTTCCATCTCTCATCTTCCATCTCTCATCTCTCATCTCTCATCTCTCATCTCTCATCTCTCATCTCTCATCTCTCATCTCCCATCTCCCATCTCAAATCTCTCATCTTCCATCTCTCATCTCTCATCTCCCATCTCACATCGCTGCAGCGGAGCAGACCACTGCAATTGTCTTCAAGCTCGCCATCGTTCTCCTGCAGGTACTTGCCCTCCCACCTCATCTCACCTCATCTCACGTCATCCCACCTCCTCCCACCTCCTCCCACCTCCTTCCATCTCTTCCCACCTCTTCCCTTGCCCCACTGCACTACCATCCCTCCCTCTTCCTTTTCCCCCCACTTCCCATCGCCCACCTCTCCTCTCCTCCCACAAACCGCCTCTTCCCATCCGTATTTCCCGTTCCCCTCCCCCATTCCCTCCCCCCATTCCCTCCTCCCATCCCCTCTCCCCGTTCCCCTCCCCTTTTCCTCCCCCCCAACACCCCTCCCCAGCGGTCCCCTCCCCCCACCAGGTGTGCAGGCGGCAGCTGCAGCAGTGTCCGGAGATGGAGTACGCCATGTGCCTGCTGCACACACAAATTTCCTCATCTGTACTTCCCATTCTTCCCCCCCCCCGTCCCTTTCCCCTGCCCTTCCTCCACGTTTCCTCCCCCCGTCCCCTACCCCCAATCCCTCCCCGTCCTCTTTCCTCTTTGACTTCCCCCGTCCCCCCACACCAGGTGTGCAGGCGGCAGCTGCATGAGTGCCCGGAGATGGAGTACGCAATGTGCCTGCTGCACACACAAATCCCCTCATCTGTACTTCCCATTCTCCTCCCCCCGTCCCCTCCCCCCAACCCCTCCCCGTCCTCTTCCTCCTTCGACTTACCCCGTCTTTCCACACCAGGTGTGCAGGCGGCAGCTACAGCAGTGTCCGGAGATGGAGTACGCCATGTGCCTGCTGCGCACAGACCTGCCCGCACAACTCAAGGTGACCTCGCCTCGCTCGCTTTGCTGTGAGATTTGTCAAGAATAACCAATAGTTTCATAAGAGTGGATGGGGTATACCATGTTGGTAGAGAAAAAGGGGCGGGCGGGGGGGTTGGTTGGTTCTTTGGCCAACGTTATCGGCCCCCACCAATACGTCGAGTTGGAGAATTTATGGGGGGTCTCAATAATGTTGGCCATGGTTGCGCCAAGATTATTGGGTAGTCCAAAAATCTCCCAACCCAACGTTAAGGGCCAAATAATTGGACCAAGGTGGAGTTTCCAACTCCCAACTAGGGTCAGCCCTATTTGTGCAACCTAACCAAATTTGGGTGCCTATTTCTACCCAAGTTTGTAGAACAGATCTAGGATACAAGAAGAAGTAAAATCCAAAGTTTACCCCCTGGTACCGCACAGTCCCTCACTGTGCTTCACGCCACCCCATACTCCCTCACGGTGACTCGCGGTACTCCCAGCCTCATGCTTCAAAGATGCAAGGTGCTTGAATGTCGTGCTTCGTACCGCATCCTCCCATTCTACGTTCGCAAAATGTCTCTCTCTCTCCTATCAGGCTAACAGCCTCCCTCCCAGTCCGCATGCAATTTAGCCTTGCCTGCACTCATCCCTCCTGTTTGTGTGTGTGTGCTTGTCCACGCATGTGTGTGTGTGCCCATGTGCATGTTTGTGTATGTATATGTGTGTGTTTGTGTTTGTATGTGCGTGCGTGCGTGCGTGCCTGCCTGCGTTCGTGCGTGCGTGTGTGTGCGTGCGTGTGTGTGTGCGCACGTGCGTGCATGTGTATGCTTGTGTGTCTCATCTCACGTGCATGCATGCATGCATGCATGCACGGGGCCATGCCATGCCATGGCAGGAGGTGAGCGAGGAGGAGATGGAGGAGCTGGTGTGCAAGGCCATGCGGGTGGACCTGCCCTTTGAGAGCCTGCTGCGACTCGAAGCAGGTCCCTGCTGCCGCCCACTCCCCACATCGTGTTGCCGCCCACTCCCCACATCGTGCTGCCGCCCACTCCCCACATCGTGCTGCCGCCCACTCCCCACATCGTGCTGCCGCCCACCCCCCACATCGTTTTGCCACTGAACACGCATCCAACCAAACGCAGTCCCTTCCTCTCCACCTGCATGCGCCTCTCCACCTGCATGCGCCTCTCTTGGGCCTCTCTATCCCCGTTCACGCCTCACCCCGTATTACCACTGCCTCCACTCTTCCCCTCCCCTTCAATCCTCCTCCTTTTCCTTTCTGTCCTTCCCTTAAACGCTCTCTCACTTCCCATGCTTTCCCCTGCCTCGCCACGCCCCGTCCCTCCCGACCGTGTCACCCAGAGTACGATCTGCTGGCGGGTGAGGCAGCAGCGGCGGCGAGGGACGTGCAGGCAGCAGCAGCAGCAGCAGCAGCAGCAGCAGCAGAGGCGACAAGCCAACCCTTATCCCTGTTGACCTACCTTTCAACCCTCGCCCATGTGCCTCCGTGCAGAGTACGATCTGCTGGCGGGGGAGGCAGCAGCGGCGGCGAGGGACGTGCAGGCAGCAGCCGAGGCCAGCGAAGCGGCAGCCCTCTCGTGGGGGGCTGACCGGCAGCAGCTGGAGGCCCGACTCTGCCATGCCACACTCGTGCGTGCTGCCTGCCAGGAGAGGGGGAAAGGGGAGGGGAGGGGGGAAGGGAGGGGGGAGGGAGGTTGAGGGAGAGGGAGAGAGTGGATGGTTGAGTGTTATCGCAGTGTTATTTCTTTCCGCAGACCATTCAAGTGCTTGCATGCTCTCCTGCTGTGCTCGCATGCGTTCCTGCTGTGCTTGCATGCTCTCCTGCTGTGCTCGCATGCTCTCCTGCTGTGCTCGCATGCTCTCCTGCTGTGCTCGCATGCTCTCCTGCTGTGCTTGCATGCTCTCCTGCTGTGCTTGCATGCTCTCCTGCTGTGCTTGCATGCTCTCCTGCTGTGCTTGCATGCTCTCCTGCTGTGCTCGTATGCTCTCCTGCTGTGCTTGCATGCTCTCCTGCTGTGCTTGCATTCTCTCCTGCTGTGCTCGCATGCTCTCCTGCTGTGCTCGCATGCTCTCCTGCTGTGCTCGCATGCTCTCCTGCTGTGCTCGCATGCTCTCCTGCTGTGCTCGCATGCTCTCCTGCTGTGCTCGCATGCTCTCCTGCTGTGCTCGCATGCTCTCCTGCTGTGCTCGCATGCTCTCCTGCTGTGCTCGCATGCTCTCCTGCTGTGCTTGCATGCTCTCCTGCTGCGCTCGCATGATCTCCATCCGTCTCATTCACCCATGCATACCCTTCCCTTCCCTTCCCTTCCCTTCCCCGCGCCACTCTCCTCCCTCCCCCCCAACTCTCCTCACCACTGCAGGCACTGAAGCAGGGCGAGCGTCTGGCAGCCCACATCACAGCCGAGCTGAACCTCTCTGATTCTGCCCGTCACTCTTCCTCCCACCCTTCCCCGTGCTCACCGCCACCGCCTGCCGATATGAAGCCCCAGAGTTGTTCGCCCACCATAAGTAGCCGTGCCACTGCCTCTCATGTGGGCTGTTCTGTGCATGCTGCCTTGCACATGGGTAATGGTGTGGGCGGACCCGGATCCCTAGAGAGCAGTCACGAGCCCTGGGTGAAAAGGGACCGCAGTGGAGGGGGGATGCGGATTGGCCGGGCTGGAGGGGGCGGCTGTTTGCCGGTGAATGGCAGTGGGGCGAGGGGGCTTGAAGGTTCAAGAGCTGAGCACTTGAATGGTGCTTCGCGCACCGAGGAGGGACGGCGGCCCTCGGAGGGCGGAGAGGGAGAGGAGAGTGTGTGTGAGGAGGAGGGAGCATGTGAGGAGGACCTACCATTGGAGGAGAGTGTGCAGCTGTGGGAGGAGCGGGTGGCAGTGGTGGGAGGAGGGAAGAGCACGGTGGAAGCGCTAAGAGCAGTGAGAGCAGCGCAGCACGAGTGGGTGCAGGTGGGGATGGCGCTGGCGCTGGCAGAGCGCGAGGTGGCGTGCCGCCTGGACATGGGCGCGCCGCCCACTGACTCTTCAGCCGCGCTGGGAGCTCTCATGAGAGGAGGGGCGCATGAGTTGGTGGTTGTGGAGGAGGTGGGGGGCTGTGTGGAGGAGAATGGAGCACATGGGCATGGCAGCATGCGACAGTATGATGCAGTGAAGAGATTATGAGTCCTGTCATGGCTGTGTCTCGTTGAGATTGCAGGACTTCAGGCTTGAGGCTTTGTTGTATTATTGCTACACCTCTGTACCGTCATACCCCGGATATACCCCCATGGGGGGCAATAATAAAACAGGTTTTTTTAGGGGGGTGGGCTTATAATCGAGTAAATTTATAAGCGCCGGCATTTATACGGTAAAATGACAAAAAAAAAAGGTTTTTTAACACCAAACTGTAGATCTCGTGCTTGCCTTTTCAATCGAGTCGAAGTTACATGGGGTCGTCTGTGAACTTCTCGTGCGCGCTGGGATGAGAGTGAATCTGACTGGACCCGCATCCTGCTCCTGACAGCTCCTGCTGACTGGACCCGCATCCAGTGCAGGGTCCGAATGTGAAGGGAACCGAATCTGCAACACATCCGCCTGCTAAAGTAAAAATCGGTCGTTGTTGGAATAACCGAAAGGTTATAAAGGCATTCCCGAAGTTGCTCCACTGTACTAGTACCGCATTAGCTCATATAGAGCACGCGGAATCTCGAGGGACACCCGAAGGTCAACCGTCTAAGATAGTCAACGGTCGTGACCCTTGACGATCCAGTAACCACGCGACAGTTAACAGACTGCAACACGGTAACTGTCGAGAATAGCAATAGTCGTGGTTACTGTAGCTATGTAATACAGTTAATAAGGGAATGTACCCCTCAGAGTACATGGCTAGATAGTTTGCTATTTAATTACTTGTATTCCTACTCCTTGATTATCTTGTTCTCTTTCAACTATTACTCAACAAGGTCACTACAGAGACTTCACTGTCTCCTCTCAGGCTTAACACGTTCTATCCTATCCACTGATCCTTTGGTTGTATCAGCATGGTATGAGAGCTAGAGTGGATTATAGGATCTGTCAAGCCCTCGTTCTTCCTAGAACAATCCTTTCATAAAATCAATTATCACATTTTAAGGTCTGCAACACTATGGCTCCTGAAGGGAAAGCTATTGCAGACTCACCGGGCCCACCACCAGCAACTACTAACGCGCCATCAGCGGTGACCTCCGTCAACGCCGCTGTCGTTGAGCAGCTAGTTGCACGCGTCAACGCTCTTGAAAGCCATCAGGCTATGAGCATTGATGGCTCAAGCTATGCACGTGGCGTTGCTGGACTTCCTCTCCCTGGAGAAGACCGCCGCGTCAACTCCGAGAGATCCTTCACCTTTGACAATCGTCAAGGGTCAGCTCCTGCACAAGACAACCCACAACGGTCGCAGTCAGACATCGCTTCAATGCAAACCAAATTTGTACTGACTTCAAAATTGAAGACCTCAATTCCCTTCGACGGGAAGGATTTTTACACGTGGAGTTTCGAATTCGAGCTTCTTGCGACAACCGCTCAGATCTGGATGTACTACGACGGAAGTCTGCCTTTTCCCTCGGAAGGCACCATCCAGGAGAAGCATCAGTACTACCACGAATCACTTCTCGCGTACACCGCTCTCCTTCGCAATCTCTCACCTGAAGAGCAGCTCGGCATTCGTCCGTACAAGACGGAGTGGGCTCCCGCGCACGCATCCTGGGAACACCTGCGCAACTCATACATGGCAACAGATCCAGTCACTATGAGTCGCCTGCTCAGTCAACTAACTTCGGTTAAAATGAAGCAAGGGGAGAAAGCGGGACCGTATGTTAATCGGTGCCGCAATCTGCGCGATCAAGTCAAGAAGTGCGGTGGTTCTGTCCCCGACGACATGTTCATCTCAATGGTCATTTCAGGCCTTGGCCCCGACTGGCGTCAGTGCCAGTCACTCCTTCGCGCCCGAGCAACCATATCGGAGTCGGCTCTGTGCGCCACGCTTCTTTCAAAGCAGAAGGAGATCGACCTGTACAACGAGAAGAATGTCAAGCGGGAAAAATTAGCCTTCTACACAGGAGGATCCCAAGGGGAGCAACGCGGAAAGAAGGGAGCTTTCTGCAAATACTGCAAGAAGTCTGGCCACTCCATCGACCAGTGCTACAAGCGTCAGGCTGCTGATGAACGGCGCAACGCCTCCAATCAGCAACCCTCAGCTCAATCCAAGCTTGCCACCGCAACCTCCACTGTATCGCCTCCCTCGGTCGCCAGTACTTCTCAGTCCCCTGCGGTCATTTCGGCAAAGGACAAAGGGAAAGGGACGGTCATAAGCTGCATGGCTCGCCGCAGCAGAGGGTTCCGCTACTGGGATCGGGATCGAATTTCATTCCCTTCCGACAACCCCACCCCCGTTGCGCCCAGCTCAGATAACGACCCAACGGTCTTTACCTGGTCGACTCGCCCCTCTGACATCCCTCCTGACTTCGAGCTTCCTCCTCCTACTCCGGAATCGCCGCCGAGCATTCCCGCAAGTAGATATTTCGCTCTCTCGCCGTACACCGGCGACTTCGATCGCATCATTACGCCCAAGATCGCCAACCTTGCCCGCCAGCGCCACGAGGACCTGGACACCTGGTACCTCGACAGTTGCTGCGGGCAACACATGGTGGGATCATCAAAGTTCATCAGCAACTCTCGGCGCATGCGACGACCCTGCGAAATCACCGCGGCCAACAACGGAAAAATGAAGGCACATGAGATTGGGGAGATCTACCTCGAGGCGAATGACACAAAATTTACCATTCACATCGGAGACGTCCTCGTCGCGCCAGATCTCCAATACAACCTTCTCTCGTCAGCTCAACTCATGCGATGCGGAATCGACATTCGCAGCAACCGCAACGAAAAGACCTTCGAGCTCTTTTATAATGACTCTTACATCGGAAAGGCGATCGACGACGACGGAGTCTTCGTGCTGCAGTTCTCGGCTCAGGGCACAACCGGCGATTCCCACCGCACGCTGCTCCTAAAGACGACTCCCACGGAGGCGCCAACGTGGTCACATCCCGACGAGATGGACCTCGAGCGACCCGCCTCTGACGGCCTTCTGCGCTTGCGCGCTATCCCGACCGCCTCGACCTCGAATCCTGCTGAGACCGGACCTGCCACAATGGAGGAAGACAGTGGCACGTCAGGCCCCACAACACAACCTGCCGAGGAAAACACGCCGGCGGAAACGCGCTGGACAGGCTGGGATACTTCCGGACCTGCACTTGGATCTTGGGGCGAAGTCCTAACTCCAGAGGAAGCGGCCACAAGCGGATGGGGTGCCGTCGCAACGAAAGAAATTGCTGCGACTGGCCGGGGAACTCCCCCTACCCCAGCCGAGGAAGGTGGCACTGGCTGGACTCCTCCTGCCCCATCTGGGGAAGTTGGCGCAGAAGTCAAAGACACAGCAGTCGGAGAAGCAAGGACAACCGGAGACACGTGGGGCGCCGGGGGAGGCTGGGGCACTTCGGGCGAAGCGGAACAAAGGCACACCGTAGCAGCCGGCCTTCCTCCCGCGGAAGTCGCCATCGTCGACCCGTACTGGGCAACTCGCGGCACCTGCTGGGGAGGTCCTCCCCTTCCGGATCAGTACGCCCCTGACACACCCGAACCAATGCCAGAAGAGTCAGAGGAAGAAGAGACCTACGAATTCATGGGGGGACCAGCGGAATTACCTGAACCTACCGAGGAGCCAGAGCCGCCGGTACAAGGACCCCAAGAAATTGAAGTCATTGGTGCTGAATACAGTTACTACAGGATCCCCATGTCGGGACTCCCCGCTCGGGACTGGCCCGATCGATGCCTACTTGTCACCGGAGACCAAGCCGAAGCTGGCGATACCGACGACATCATCGGTATTCCCCGCGCGCTTCTGGAGAGAAAAGCAATTCGCGCACTCGCCGCCGAAACGGACAACGCCGCTGACACAGGACCTGAAGGGGAGGCAAACGACGAGGCAGCACGGCAAAAATATTATCAGAAAACAGTCGGCTACCGTGCGGACCCAGCAACATGGCACCAACGGCTTGGACATCCCTCTCACGCCACGCTCAAAAATTCGCTTAAGGCTGGAGTCTTCGATGACGAAGCACTTCTCCTCCCCCGAGACGGTTCCCTCACCGCGGACTCTCCCAATCCGCCGTGCATCGTCTGCCCGACTGCATCCCTCAACCACCAACCATTCCCAGACTTACCACCAGGGTACGAGCGCTACAAACCGCTGGATAAGGTCTACAGCGACTTCATGGTACTCAGCCAAGAAGGGCTCGAAGGGGAGCAGTACACGCTAACCTTCATTGACGCCTCTACGCGTTACGTCTGGGCCATCAACACCGACTCTAGGTCACTGGCCTTCGAGTGCTTCATTGCGTGGATGAAGCGGGCTGAGCGACAGTCTGGGCTAAAGCTAAAGGCCTGGCAGACAGACGGAGCCCTGGAGTTCTTCTCGGACGAGTTCAAAGAGCTCTTCAAGCAGAAAGGGATCGAGCACCTGGTGTCTCTGCCCTACGCCCACCAGCAGCAAGGTGTAGCAGAACGGACAAACAGGAGCCTCGCCACGCGGATGAGGGCTCTGATGAAGCAGTCGGCCATCCCAACCAGATATTGGCCATTTGCGATGAATCACGCTGTTCGGCTGCACAACTTGCTGTCTTCGCGAAGCCTCAAGGACAACAACTCTCCCTACCGGGCTTGGACGGGCAGAAAAGCAGATACACGCCTACTTCGGGTGTTCGGGTGCATGGTACAGTACAGACCCCATACTGCGCAGACGGGAAAATTTGCAGACCGGGCACGATGGGGCATCCATCTCGGAATCGAAAAAGAATTCAAGGCGTGGATCGTACTGGACTACGCGACACACGAGGTGACAAAATCACGTGACTGCATCTTCTACGAGAAGCTGACTCTGCCCCTTTTTAAGGAGCACCAGGAAGCTGACAAACTGCTCGAGAGGCTCTTCGAGGGCCACCGCAGCTTCGCCACGTCACACGACGAAGCTGACCTGGCCGAGGATGCAGACGCACCTGATGTCACCCAGATGGACTCTGCTCCAAACATCCCCCTTACGAGCCAACTCGGAACTCCGACATTCGTGCCCGTACACCAACCCGATCCGGATG